GGTCATGACCAGTAGATACTTGATAACCCTTATTAATTGTTTGATCACTGGGTCAGAAGTCATGCATAATTACCTTATCACATGAATAATTGGCTGCTGATAGGGGGCATACATGTTTTACAAACATATCTTGTTTTACTAAGTGTGAACAGATACCTTAAGAGGGTGTCTTCGCTAATAGCGATTACATAATAAGGGACAATTCCACAAGTGTGGTGTTGATCATGCGTTACACATATGGATTATAAATGATTGTATACATGTATATCCATTGCTATTAATAATCACGATCATAAAGAAATAACAAGTAATATTCTAATCTCTAGCATGCCAATCAAAGTTCATAATGAACAATGTCTTCCGTCCGTTCATTCTGGTAAAAACCAATTAATCATTGAAAAGTTTATAAGAATATCTTGACATCATATGTCTACTAGTTCATCTTCACTTTCTGCATTTCTTGCTTGGACGCCCTTTGATGCTTTGCATCAATGCTTTTCTTGTTATATTCTATAAGAGAACATTTTGTTTCTGCTCCGTCAGAAATCCTTCTTGAAGATATAACTTGTATTTAACTGACTCATTTTGATAAACTTGTCTGCTAGAATTTGACTAACTTTAAGCTTAATATAATATACATTGATGTATATTCTTTGGCATGATATTACCAATAATACCAAACAATCTAACATTTTTTTTTACAAATTTGTAAGACTTTATTCTCTAAAAATTGATATACTTGGAAAGTTGGAGATCTATGACAATTTGTCAAATGACCATGGAATGAATATGCCCTGCAATGAAGTAGTTGAAATGTACATCTTCTGTACTCTTGGTCTATATTTCAAGATGGATAGTTATACATTTACTTACTTACTTACTAGTGTTCGCAGTTACACGACTATGCCAGTATCTACGATGAAGGATGTGGTCCATCTCAGGTCCTCAACATCACCATAAAGCTTCTGTTGGAGGATTGTTTCCTGAGGCCACGTCGCAGTTCGCTCCTTGTCTTGTCGCTTACATCTTTGGAGGACATGCTCTGTAGTTTGGTGTTCTTCTCCACACGGACACATTGGGGATTGAACGAGTCTGTAATTTTTGTTCATGTGTGTGTAAAGTCTGTTATGTCCTGAACGTAGTCTCACCATCATCACTTATTCTGGCCGGTTCAAAGAGTGATATGCATCAGGCTGTTGTCTTGCCTTTGTTATTGCTTTGATGATGGTTACTTTCTCCTTGTATGAGACGTGGACATCTGGTTGCTCTGACTGTGCTCCAAATTTAACCAATTGGTTCCCAGTAATTCCACAGTGTGCTGGTATCCACTGTATGGCTACGCTGCAAATGGTGCTTAGGTCACTCATTGCTCTGGCTAGGTCTGGTGATTTGTTGTCGATCAGGGCTTCCAGGACTGATCGTGCGTCGGTGAGAAAGACAACTGAAGAGACAGCTTCTGTAGAGTCTATGATCATGGAGCTCTAAAGTTGCTGCAGTGCTTTCCAGTGGCAATATGGTGTGTAACTAGATGGCCTGATGGGTGTATAATGAGAATACTAACCCCTCCATCTTTGATTGCTCTTGTGGCTGACCCATCTGTGCAGACATGGGTCCACTTGTCATTACGGTTGTCTTCATTGATCATGGCAAGCGCAAGACTCTTTTTGATATTCTCACATTCTTGTATACCACTTTCAAGCTGTGGGATATTAAGTTTCACCTTAATGCCAGACAGGTCATTTGTCAATGTGTCTAGTATGTGTTTTCTGCCCAAGGGAGTGGTAGGAATTGTTAGCTCTGGGGCAAACTTTCTGTCCAGTTTCTTGGCTTCAGTGACAAAGCTGGTTTCGCTTGAGCCTATTCTTTGTATATCCTGCCAGTCTGCTTTTCATGGGGCTATCAGGGATACACTTGAACTTCTCTGCCTGAAGGAGGATCTTGGCCTGCCTTCTTTCCTGTAGGGGTTGTATACCTTTTCATGCGAATTGTGAAATTGATGTCGCTGCACACTGTGAACATACTCTTTGCAGAAAAACTTGCTATTTTATAGCTAACGTGCAAAAAGTATAATAGAGAAATTTTTGATACACAGAATACATTGATACAAAATGTTACAAAGGAAGCTATTGGAAATGTAACGTTCAAGACTGTCTCCATTTTGGATTTTTGGTGTTTGAGTTAGTGTAACCAAAAAAAAAAAAAATACAATTTGGGCAAAAAATAATTTGTGCAGGTGTATGTATATCTGTTTACGAAGCGTGACCGACTTAAAAAGACTGATGTGTCATGTGTTAAATCTATTACTTTGACAGCCTGTGCCAGATGATGACCTAAGCATGTAATGTTCGCTACTAAAAATTCAGTACATTCTATGCACTTTTTCCCAATTAAGGAATTTTTAATAAATGATTTACATTTGGAGGGATATATAATAACCAACTCTGAAAGAATTGTGTCAACATATCTTTTAATATATCTATATACATACATGTCAGTTATGTACGCATTTGTAATGTTCAATACGATAAAAATGTCCCCCCATCCAAGCCCTGGTGATGGATGGGGGTCATTATTGGAGTAAAAGCCGGAGGCCGAGCATGTATACGTAGCATTGACGAATGCTATCTCTTACAAGTCGCATTTTAAAGAAAACGAAAGTGAAAGTACAATCGGAAGTACCCGTCACGTGACCGATACCCATAACCGGAACCGGTGAACCAGTAAACATCATTTTTTAAAGATAACTTGTTGACAAATCCATAAAAAGGGTAGGGCTGTAAAAAAACCAAAAACCAAAGGGAGGGTGTATACATGCTCGGCCTCCGGCTTTTACTCCAATAATGACATCATTATTGATCCATCACCAGGGCTTGGATGGGGGGACATTATTTTCGCAAAAGCCTCTGGCTTTCGCATGTATACGTAGCATCTTTTAAGTTTGTCAACAAGTATACAAAATTGTCAACCAAGAACAAAAACACAAACTAGTAACATTATACTCACATTTACTACCCTGAAAAAACCAAATATACAAATTAAATATACATCAATTCATTTCTGTAACAAAAAATATTATTTGTCATATCAAATTGACCTTTGTCAAAAAGTATCAATTATGAGAAAACAGCCTGAGCAAAAGATAACTCTTCATCATTCAAAACGGGTCTGTAGTAAAATTTATAGAAATTTTTGTCAGATTTCCAATCAGCTGCATCCAGTAAAGTTTTCAATGTACATTTATGAAATGCAGCTGAAGAACTGGCAGACCTATAAGAATGAGCCTTAAATATACCAGTGTCAATGCCCGCTAATTCTAGCACAGTTTTTAACCATCTTGCAATGGTACTTGTAGAAACATTTTGAAAAGTTACATAAGAAATAAAAAGTTGTTTAGATCTCCGTAACTTCCTAGTTACGTTAAAAAATAAAGTATGAAAAACACAAAGAGATTCCTCCTCAAAATGTTCTAATTTCACACAAAAAGAATTAGATCTATTAGATCTACTAGTTTTTAATAACCCTGGAAAATAAAAAGTCACATGATTCGCAGCACATCTCATAAAATCCAAGTTCATAGAGACTAAAGTCTGAGCCCTAGGAGCACAACTGAGGGCTATCAAAGCCACTAATTTTAATGTTAACATCTTTAAGGATAACGTTCTTAAAGGATATAATGTTCTGAGAAAATTAAGCACTACAGTCACGTCCCACGTAAATTTATAACGCAACTTAGGGGGATTTGAATGAAAAATCCCTTTCATAAATTTAGGAATAAGCACAGTATTACCACACCAAACATTTCCACAAAATGGAAGTGTTTGCAATAACATAGCTTTATGGGTGTTCAATAATGAATGAGTCTTATTTGATATTATAAGATATGCTTTGAAAATAAATAATAATTCATGCAGGTCAAGTATCTGTTTAAATTAATAAGTGTGAAGTTACATTATTGTTCTTTTCTATCATTACCTTTTGTGCAAGAAGTACGTGGTCCCGCAGTGCCGTCGTTGTTGCTAGTGTCACATCCTCGGTCACTGTACCTGATATTTGTCTGCACAGCTTCTCACAAGTGGCACATACATCATCTTTTGGGCTAGCTATACGTATATGCGGTAAACATGTCCGCCAGTTGTCTTTGAATGACGTGAGCTCTAAAGCGCGTACCAAGACTGTTTGTACAGCTGATGCATGTCTTTTTTGGTTGTGTCAGACGTCAGATACACTGGTGGGATGTTGTCTAGGCAACGAGGAGCTGCAGGTTGAGGGAGACCTCTTTCTTCTGCATAATTTCGGATGAAATGAACAACGCGCATGACATCATCATACGTAATAGCATGCTTTGGTTTTTTTCCTGCGTTGCCATGCTGCCTTGGAGTTACGCCGTGTTGACCTGCATGTTTAGCAATGGCCCCTAATGCATATTTCGTAATGTCATAACATAACATGAATGTTCCTTTGCACACCGTTTTACCTGTAACCCTAAATGTCCTCCTAGAACGCTGTCTTTTTTTGCCACGTTTAGTTTTCTCGACGTTTCCCTCAGCCACTAATGACATGATACACAGTTCTTTCTCCTCCTTTGTCATTTCCCTGATAAAAAGAATATGACTCAGTATGTCATCAAATTCAAACTTTGTATGACAATTAAGACGACAACCACAACCTTTTATAATAAATTGTCTTTCTGTCTGTGTATCATCAGATGTTTCACAAATTTCCTCCTCACTACTGCTACTTTCTGTTCTATCATGATCAGACTGACTATTGGCGGTGGTGAAGACTCTTGCTCTTGTAGATACGAGTTCGGCCCTGTCATTCTCGCATTCTCCTTCATCAGAATAATCTGAGTCGCTATTATATCCCGAAAATTCTGTGGTTTGAGAGTTGTTAGGAGTCCTTCCAAAATGATCGGAGTAAAGGGATTCAAGATCCTATAAAGGAAAAATAAATAAAACATAAAAATGAAAAAAAAAAAGTAATGAATAAAAATGTTTGCTTCAGCTGAGATTCGAACTCAATTCCCTTGCGTGACAGACCACTGCACTATCCACTGAGCTATACACTAATCTGTACTGAGTTAAGTTATTAATCAATATTTTAATCTATAAAACAATTTTTATTCCATGATGACTTAGCATATTTGGACATATTACTTTCTTATTTTCTTGCAAAAATTTTCAAAATGAATTATGTGTATTAATTTAACTTGGGACTCATTTGATTATTCTTAAAACAATCTGCCGATAATATATGAATTATGAAAGCAAACGCTAAATACAAAACTGTAAAGTTAAAATCAAAACAACGTAGATTTCTAAATCTATATGCAGATCTAAATTTATTCTATATAAAGGCACCGCTCTGAGTTGCCAATTCTTATTCTTTTGTATATTGTATACTTTAATAGATCTAATGTAAGTATACTGTAGATTCTATAGCCGACTATTTACAAACGTCAGGACTGTATACTACCAACAATAAAAGATTACCAATGCTATACACTGATTATAATTTATAAACATGCAAAAAATGTTTTTGTTGTTGATTTTCCTGAATTATACATAATAAACACTTACTTCTAATTCCTCCTCCATCTTTTAATGTTTCCTCTGAATTCCAAAGTCAATACACTTTAAAAAAAAACTTAATAACACGATAAACAGTTTTTCCATATTTACATGTGTAATACGCAACAAGAGTGACGTCATTTAAATCGCTGTAGTGCACATTTATTGTCGTGTCATTAAGACCGGTTTTCTCACGTCGCGCGTCATATATATAAATGCGTATATATATATATATAAATGTTTCATCCTATTTAAAAAAAATACTTTCGGGCATATAATGCTCGGCCTAGCAGTGCTCTTGTTTCATAATCTTATTCTTCTTTTAATATTTTATATGTCTGTAAACCTACCAGCAAACACATTAACCTAGATTCTAGTGTTATTATGTAAATACAGAAATCTTGAATCACATGAAGTTTTACTTCAATGCTAGAACTACTGTTAATTACCTTATATAATATAACTTAAGACCACCTTTTATATCTCAAAACCCTTGATATAAATATGTAGAAATTGTTTTTGTTATTTTAGATATATGTAACTGTTATTGCTTATTGACGGTATGTCATCCAACAAGAGGGAAGATCTCTTCTCAAAATTCACTACGAAGTGTATCGCCTAGAATTTCTCCAAAGAACTCTAATAGGAGCACACCAACTACATCACCGGAAGCTTCACCAAGGATTCAGTCAAGGGTTGAGTCTCCCCTTCTTTCTCGTACAGCTTCACCAACATTAAAGAGATCAGGGAGTGATTCTTTAGATACAGAAATTTTGAGGACAAGCACAGTGAAAAACTCACCTCATCCTAAATGGAATGAAGAGTTCACCTTGTAAGTTATTTTAAATACTGTAGAACAGAATATGTTTTACCCAAAACAACATTTCTTTGAATGTAACTTGTAATACATTGCTTTACGTTTGAATATATGAAAAAAATCAAAGGTGGAAGGTCAAGTTTTAAAAATTCATCCTTGTCATGTTTCTATTTAAAACATTATATGTCTATACAAAAATGAACCATTAATTTGTTTAGCGAATATACAATGAAGTTATGTTTTCATGATATTATTTTATTATAAGCCCGAAAGAATTTTGGCATATTGTACCGTCCTTCAGTCCGTTCGTCCGTCTGTCCGTACGAGGTAAACCTAAAACAGCATGTTGTATTTTTCTTAAGTACTACATGTAACAATGGCTTCATACTTTACACACTTACTTATCAACACAATGTACATAATCTGGACAAGTTACATAACTGTGGCTTCCATTTTTGTGTCGCCTCTACGGAGTAGTGGCGACATATAGGGATCACTTCTCCGTCGTCTGTCTGTCCATCTGTCTGTCTGTCTGTCTGTCCGTCCGTCACAAAACTTGTCCAGACTACTCCTCATAAACTACTGGTGCAATTTCATCCAAACTTTACAGGAATGATCAGTACCAAGTCTAGTTGTGCATATTGTCAGCATTTTCCGGTTCGTTGATTTTTGTTAGAGTTATAGCCCTTTAATAATTTTTAATTTTAAAGTTTGTCCGGACTACTTCTCTTATACCACTAATGCAATTTCAATGAAACTTTACAGGATTGATCTGTAGCTCAAGTCCTTGGGCATATTGCACGGGTTTTCCGGTTGAATGATTTTTGGCCGAGTTATGGCCCTTTGATAAAAAGGTTTCTTTTTCTGTGTGTTGCCAGATACACAAAAGCTTGTCCGGACTACTCCTCATAAACTACTGGTGCAATTTCATCCAAACTTTACAGGAATGATCAGTACCAAGTCTAGTTGTGCATATTGTCAGCATTTTCCGGTTCAATGATTTTTAGCTCGACTATTCGATAAGAATAAGTAGAGCTATTGTAGTCACCCGAGCGTCAGCGTCGGCGTCGGCGTAACCACTTATGTTAAAGTTTTTGTAATAGTTCAAATATTTTCAAAGTCCATTGACATATGGCTTTGAAACTTTGCACACTTGTTCACCATCATGACCCCAACCTGTAGACAGGAGGAGGTAACTCTATCAAGCATTTTGACAGAATTATGCCCCTTTTTCAACTTAGAATTTACGTTAAAGTTTTTGTAATACCTCAAATATTTTCAAAGTCCATTGACATATGGCTTTGAAACTTTGCACACTTGTTCACCCAAACTCCTCACAGTGATTACCTCCCTTGGCAGAATTGTAATCACTGCCTTCAAAGACGTCACATGATGATGAAAGTCACATGACGTAACGTCGAAATTCAAATGTAAATATCGACCGTTACATAGAAAATCTAACGTCATTTTTCTCTTTCTGTTTTATTTTTAACTTTTAGTGCCTACGATCGATATAGTTTATCAAAAAATTATCAAAAGTATACAAAATAACGAAAAATAAATTCAAAAGCTAAAAAATATAAAATATCAAAATATTGTCTCGGTAGAAAATATTCTCATATTTTTTAAAATTATTTCTAAATATTCATATTATTTATTTATTTATCCATAAACATTGTTTAATCAATGAGAAAAAACTTAACTGATAGATAAAAGCAGTAAATAAAACAATTTTTGAAAAAATATAGTATATCAGAAATTCTGATATATTGGGACCTTGGTGGCAGAGATCTACGCCGAAGAATTAAGGGGAGATCACTGTGTGGAGATTGTTGTTCACCATCATGACCCCAACCTGTAGACAGGAGGAGGTAACTCTATCAAGCATTTTGACAGAATTATGCCCCTTTTTCGACTTAGAATTTACGTTAAAGTTTTTGTAATAGTTCAAATATTTTCAAAGTCCATTGACATATGGCTTTGAAACTTTGCACACTTGTTCACCATCATGATCCAAACCTGTAGACAGGAGAAGGTAACTCTATCAAGCATTTTGACAGAATTATGCATCTTTTTCGACTTAGAATTTACGTTAAAGTTTTTGTAATAGTTCAAATATTTTCAAAGTCCATTGACATATAGCTTTGAAACTTTGCACACTTGTTCACCATCATGACCCCAACCTGTAGACAGGAGGAGGTAACTCTATCAAGCATTTTGACAGAATTATGCCCCTTTTTCGACTTAGAATTTACGTTAAAGTTTTTGTAATAGTTCAAAATTTTCAAAGTCCATTGACATATGGCTTTGAAACTTTGCACACTTGTTCACCATCATGACCCCAACCTGTAGACAGGAGGAGGTAACTGTATCAAGCATTTTGACAGAATTATGCCCCTTTTTCAACTTAGAATTTACGTTAAAGTTTTTGTAATAGTTCAAAATTTTCAAAGTCCATTGACATATGGCTTTGAAACTTTGCACACTTGTTCACCATCATGACCCCAACCTGTAGACAGGAGGAGGTAACTCTATCAAGCATTTTGACAGAATTATGCCCCTTTTTCGACTTAGAATTTATGTTAAAGTTTTTGTAATAGTTCAAATATTTTCAAAGTCCATTGACATATGGCTTTGAAACTTTGCACACTTGTTCACCATCATGACCCAAACCTGTAAACAGGAGGAGGTAACTCTATCAAGCATTTTGACAGAATTATGCATCTTTTTCGACTTAGAATTTACGTTAAAGTTTTTGTAATAGTTCAAATATTTTCAAAGTCCATTGACATATGGCTTTGAAACTTTGCACACTTGTTCACCATCATGACCCCAACCTGTAGACAGGAGGAGGTAACTCTATCAAGCATTTTGACAGAATTATGCCCCTTTTTCGACTTAGAATTTACGTTAAAGTTTTTGTAATAGTTCAAAATTTTCAAAGTCCATTGACATATGGCTTCGAAACTTTGCACACTTGTTCACCATCATGACCCCAACCTGTAAACAGGAGGAGGCTTTGAAACTTTGCACACTTGTTCACCATCATGACCCCAACCTGTAAACAGGAGGAGGTAACTGTATCAAGCATTTTTTTTTACTATCAAGCACTAAGAATAGTTGAGCGTTGATGTCCTACCGACAGCTCTTGTTGTTTGAGTTATGGCCCTTTAATAATTTTTATGCCCCCCTTCGAAGAAGAGGGGGTATATTGTTTTGCTAATGTCGGTCTGTCTGTCTGTCGGTCTGTCTGTCGGTCTGTCCGTCGGTAGACCACATGGTTTCCGCTGATTATCTTGAAAAGTATTTATCACAAAGTCTTCATATTTCACAAAGTGATTGGTCATAGCTAGTAGATGACCCCTATTGATTTTGGGGTCACTAGGTCAAAGGTCAAGGTCACAGGGACCTTAAATGTCAAAATGGTTTCCGCTGATTATCTAAAAAAGTATGTATCACAAAGTCTTCATATTGAACATAGTGATTGGTCATCACTAGTAGATGACCCCTATTGATTTTGGGGTCACTAGGTCAAAGGTCAAGGTCACAGGGGCCTTAAATGTCAAAATGGTTTCCGCTGATTATCTTGAAAAGTATTCATCACAAAGTCTTCATATTGCACATAGTGATTGGTCATCACTAGTAGATGACTCCTATTGATTTTGGGGTCACTAGGTCAAAGGTCAAGGTCACAGGGACCTTAAATGTCAAAATGTTTTCCGCTGATTATCTTGAAAAGTATGTATCACAAAAGTCTTCATACTTCACACAGTGATTGGTCATAACTAGTAGATGACCCCTATTGATTTTGGGGTCACTAGGTCAAAGGTCAAGGTCACAGGGGCTTTAAATGTCAAAATGGTTTCCGCTGATTATCTTGAAAAGTATTCATCACAAAGTCTTCATATTTCACATAGTGATTGGTCATAACTAGTAGATGACCCCTATTGATTTTGGGGTCACTAGGTCAAAGGTCAAGGTCACAGGGACCTTAAATGTCAAAATGGTTTCCGCTGATTATCTTGAAAAGTATTCATCACAAAGTCTTCATATTTCACATAGTGATTAGTCATCACTAGTAGATGACCCCTATTAATTTTGGGGTCACTAGGTCAAAGGTCAAGGTCACAGGGACCTTAAAATGTGAAAATGGTTTCCGCTGATTATCTTGAAAAGTGAAACTTTACAGGATTGATCTGTAGCTCAAGTCCTTGCGCATATTGCACGGGTTTTCCGGTTGAATGATTTTTGGCCGAGTTATGGCCCTTTGATAAAAAGGTGTTGTTTTTTTCTGTGTGTTGCAAGATACGCAAAAGCTTGTCCGGACTACTCCTCATAAACTACTGGTGCAATTTTATCCAAACTTTACAGGAATGATCAGTACCAAGTCTAGTTGTGCACTGTCCATCTGTCTGTCCGTCTGTCACAAAATTTGTCTCAACATGAAATTGGCCATCATGAGGCGACACATGTGATTACTGATCGCTCTTGTTACTAAGTTATTGCCCTTTTCAACACTTAGAAAATGAATACTTGGTAACCTAAAAAGGCAAGTTGGATATATCTTAAGTTCTATCTATACTAATAGCTTCATAATTACCACACTTACTTATCAATATAAAGTACATGATATTGCCAAGTTATATAACTGTGCCATCCAGTTCTGCCAGTTATTTCTTTTTTTATAACTTTGAAAATAGGGCCTTGTGTGGTTAACATATTCCGTCAAGTTGGATTTATCTTAAATTTCTCTTAATAACTTCATTTATTTAATAATATCTTTCATATTTGGTAGGTGGATACCTTAAATGGTCCTCTATTTTTTATGGTGTTCAAGGTCATGGTTACTGGTGTAAAAAACAAATTTAAACAATTTTGCTCATACAGCCTTTATTTTTAAGTTGATGTCATTCATGTTTAATACAAACTGCTAGGGGGGTCCTCTTCCTTTGGGTTTAGTTAGGGGTCATTTGGATTATAGGGGGGGGGGCATTTAGATTTACCCTTGTCCATTC